ACACAGTTGGAAGTTGAAGACACAGATGAATCACAGGGATGTTAGGAAGTATTTCTTCAGCCACAGAGTAGTCAGGAAGTGGAATAGTTTGGGAAGCGATATAGTGGAGGCAGGATCCATACATAGCTTTAAGCAGAGGTATGATAAAGCTCACGGTTCAGGGAGAGTGACCTAGTAGCGACCAGTGAAGAGGTGGGGCCAGGGGGGGGCATTGACCCCCAGAACTCTCTCCAGGTAAACTCCAGGTATGTAATAGAGAAGGGACACTGAAACGTGCTTTACAAGACTAAGGTTTAATTTTTGAAGTATCCCTATTGGCAATTTTGTAAGGTTCGATTTACATCCATTTTGACTAACGTCTGGTTGGTCAGAACCAAGCTCGGTCATAAGTTGGATGGTACCTGTATCTTTAAACGTGTAAGAAAAATTTCTTGAAAGGACTTAATTTTATATGAGTTCTTGCTAATTGACCAATTTTACCTATTTGGTGTGTGTTTGTGTGTGTGTGTGTGTGTGTGTGTGTGTGTGTGTGTGTGTGTGTGTGTGTGTGTGTGTGTGTGTGTGTGTGTGTGTGTGTGTGTGTGTGCACGCATGCATGCGCACAGAGAGAGAGAGAGGGGGGGGACCTAAAAAGGAATGAGCTTATCAACGACAGCCAGCAAGGTTTCAGGGACAGGAAATCCTGTGTCACAAACCTACTGGAGATCTATGACAGGTTGATAGCAGTTAGACAAGAGAGGGGTAGGTAGATTGCATTTTCTTGGACTGTAAGGTGTTTGACACAGTTCCACACAAGAGATTAGTGCAAAAGCTGGAGGACCAGGCAGGGAAGGCACTACAATGGGTCAGAGAATACCTGTCAAGAAGACAACAGCGAATCATGGTATGTGGCGAAGTGTCAGAGTGAGTGCCTGTAACGGGCAGGGTGCCACAAGGATCAGTCCTAGGACTGGTGCTGTTTCTGGTATTTGTGAACAACATGATGGAAGGAATAGACTCCATAGTGTCCCTGTTTGCAGATGTGAAGTTAGTGAGAAGAATTCAATCGGACGAGGACCAGACAGAACTACAGAGGGATCTAGTCAGGCTGCAGGCCTGGTCCAGCAAATGGCTCCTGGAGTTCAAACCCACCAAGTGCAAAGTCATGAAGATTGTGGAAGGGCAAAGAAGACCATAGATGGAGTACAATCTAGGGGCCCAGAGCCTACAAACCTCACTCAAGATAAAGGATCTTGGGGGTGAGTATAACATTGGGCACATCTCCTGAGGCGCACATCGATCAAATAACTGCTGCAGCATACGGGCGCCTGGCAAACCTAAGAACAGCATTCCGACATCTAAATAAGGAGTCATTCAGGACCCTGTACACTGTGTAAATTAGGCCCATATTGGAATATGCAGTGGTAGTTTGGAACCCCTCGCCTAGCCAAGCATGTAAGAAAACTAGAGAAAGTGCAAAGGTTTGCAACAAGACTAGTCCCAGAGCTATGGGGTATATCCTATGAGGAGAGGCTAAGGGAAATCAACATGATGACACTGGAAGACAGGAGAGAGAATGGGGGGATATGATAACGACATATAAAATACTGAGAGGAATCGACAAGGTGGACAGAGACAGGATGTTCCAGAGATGGGACACAGCAACAAGGGGTCACTGTTGGAAGTTGAAGATTCAGATGAATCACAGGGATGTTGGGAAGTATTTCTTCAGTCACAGAATCGTCAGAAAGTGGAATAGTTTGGGAAGCGATGTAGTGGAGGCAGGATCCATACATAGCTTTAAGAAGAGGTATGATAAAGCTCATGGAGCAGGAAGAGTGACCCAGTAGTGGCCAGTGAAGAGGCAGGTCCAGGAGCTGTGACTCGACCCCTGCAACCACAACTAGGTTAGTAAATATACAGTGGACCCCCGCTTAACGATCACCTCCCAATGCGACCAATTATGTAAGTGTATTTATGTAAGTGCATTTGTACGTGTATGTTTGGGGGTCTGAAATGGACTAATGTACTTCACAATATTCCTTATGGGAACAAATTCGGTCAGTACTGGCACCTGAACATACTTCTGGAATGAAAAAATATCGTTAACCGGGGGTCCACTGTATATTCTCTCTCCCCCCATCTCTTACTTTGTATATGTAAATTTTGAACATCACTTATTTTTTTCTGTATTACTGTATTTAGGTTTCTGTTATACATTTCATAAGATAGTGCTTGAACATTAGTTGTGTTTAACAGGTTTCTTACCCTCAAAGAAGGATCATTGATGGCAGTGACGAGCTCTTGATTAAAGGAATTGGACTTGTCCTTTCCTTCCTTTGATCAACCAGATAGCCTCCTCCTCATTTTCCCAGGTGCTGTATGACCCTTATGGGTTTACTGTTCTCCCATGAATGTAATAATAACTGGCCTTCTATTAATAATTTTATTTATTTATGTACAGAACAAAATTTCTTGTAGCTGAAGTACTGAGGGTTTTGCTCGATGTGTTTGAGTGTCTGAACTGAAGTAGATGTTTAATAAGTTTCTAAACATAGGTGCACTTTTTCTGCTTGTCATATTTCCATGCAGCAGAAGACCTGATCACAGTACTGTGCTAAAGTTGCTTTCTGATATTAGCTGAATAAATAAGATGTTTGAGTGTCTTAGGGTCATATGTCACCTGCAGTCATTAAATACAGAATACATGTATAAAGTTTAAATAACAATAATAATTAGCTAAATGTAGCTGGAAATGTGCCACCTTATAAGGCATTAAGAATCACAGCTTTTTAGATTTGTTTATCCCCTACATGCTGCAGCTCTATTGATGTCATCCTCGCAGTAACAAAGAGCATTTATGACTCATGAAATCGTAATAACACAATTGCAAACAAACCAGGGTATGGGCTGAATTAGAACCCATGGTGAGTGAGTGGTAAAACTCCAGGCCAGTGTATAAGCCACTGTCTAGCTGGTGCAGTGGCTTACACACTCACCTAGAGTTGTATGACTCACTTCACCCCACCTGTTTCTTTTTTTTTTTTCTAGAAAATTTACTTGTGAAAGTACAAAGCTGGTTAGGAACTATGTAAAATTGATTTCTATTGTATTAGCTCTTATCTTTGCTTGTATAGTTTTCAATTATTTGCCAATTTACTTGAGGATGAAGATTTAATATTTACATCTTCATAATGTTTTCTTGAAGTTTTAACCCCTTTAGTTTTATAGAAGAGAAACTTTATGGACATGAAATTTGTTCAGGTAAGAATGTTTATGTTATGTTATGATACATTAGTAATTCATATGAATGGCACTGCATTGAGACAGTACCAAATTGGAAAAAAAAATCTAGCATTAGCAAATTTTCATGTTATACCAGTCATGCAAAATCTTGACATGAATAATCATTAATGTTATTTTGTGTTTCCCTAACTCTCAAAGTCCAGAGTAAATTAATTGACATTATGATTTAGTTAGTTAGAAATACTGGCCATTAAATATTTTCAGTGTCATGGCATAATTGTAATCCTGTGAATGTGAGAGTTTTTCTCACTAGGATTACTAAGGTTTGGAGCCTTGGATGTGCAAAATATTTGTACTGTAATTAAAGGTCTACAAATTAAAGTGTTAATACTACTACATCAGTGGCAAAATTTCAAGTTATGTTTCCAGTTGTTTGGTTCAGGTCTGTTCTGACATTCTTCTGAAAATTCGCTAGATTGTGAGTTGCTGTTATGGTTTGCATAAGTTTAAGGTTATGTATCATGCCATTTATTGCTAAAGTTTCCATATAATTTCATCTGTAGTCTCTCTTCCTCTAAATAAAACAGCCTCATTTGATACCAAGTGTTTTATTGTTTATTCCTTGTATTTATATGTACATGTATGAAAGGTAGAGGGAAGGGTCGTCCCAAGAATGGTTGAGAGGGGGGGCACAAGAGGCTTTGAGTTTAAGGTGCTTGAGCATCCAGCAGGTTTATGTGAATGTGTTAGTTAGGAGTGAATGGAAACCAGTGCTCACACTCCAATGTACTGTTGGAGTGAGAGAAGGGTGACTTTTATGAAGGGATTCAGGGAGAACAATTAGCCTGACTTGAATTCTGGAGGTGGAAAGGGCAGTGCCAGCATTCTGAAGAAGGGGTGAGGTGACATCAGAACACTTCTGGAAAAGATGATGATTTAGTGAATATGGGTGAAGTTGATTTCTTCTCTGGATCATTGTGCTTCAGTGGCTGTTTGAATTAAAAAAAAAAAGTGTGAGAGAATGTGGGGGAGGGGAGAGAAGAGAACAAAATAAGTGTCAGGGGCCCAAGACTGTTCAACTGCCTCCCAGCATAAATAAGGAGGATTACCAATAGACCCCTGGCTGTCTTCAAGCAGGCACTGGGCAAGCACCTAAAGTTGGTACCTGACCAGCCGGGCTGTGGTTTGTACATGATTCTGCAGCAGCAGTAACAGCCAATGGTTGACAGTGTCCCTGATCACCAGTGGCTGGTAAAAAATGTGGAGTGGGGGTGGGACGGGGAGAAAAGCAAATAAATAGTTCCACGCCCAAGACTGTCACTAGCCTCCCAGCAATGAATACCAATCCCATTTCCAGCATGCACTGCAACACCAATTGTACCTGACACTACACCGCTGTGTTTTACTGAGCGTGCACCACATCAGCACTGGACACCTACCACCATGAGCCTGACATACCACCACTGGGCCTGACCCCCGAACTCTCAATACACTAGAAACTACCACCACTCAACACTGACACTACCATCACTCAGCACTGACACTACCACCACTCAGCACTGACACTACCACCACTCAGCACTGACACTACCACCACTCAGCACTGACACTACCACCACTCAGCACTGACACTACCTCCTACCACTACCACCCACCACTACCCTTCTTTAAGGAGGAGGAAGAGAGAGGGGAGAAAGTGCCTTCTTCTTCTGAACAGTAAATAGAAATGCTAATATTATTTAATAATAGAACTTCTTAAACTTTTGAGAAAGCAATATTAATTCAAATTTTTATTATACAGTAGACAGCAATATTATAATATTAATGGTCAATAGATTATGTAACAATGACAGTACTAATGTTCACACAACAGAAGGAAAACAATAATTGTATTAAAAAACTTATACAATGTAATCTAATTAGAGGGAAACAAAGTATCAGAATATGTTTGAACAGTTCCTAAAGTCTCTAACATACACAGGAAAAAAGTTTTGCTCGAGACAGTTGACATTTACAACAAACCATCAAACTGAAATGCTATATATACCATGGGCTTTCAAAGTATTATGTACGTATATTTATACATTAATTTGAAATAAAGTCATACCCTGTCCTACGTCATTACAGCCTCTCCTCAACGACAGAGTTCCGTATCTAAGACTTCGTTGGCAAACGAATTTGTCGCTAAGTGAAAAGCATAATATAATGGTAGTGGGTTTGTGCCAACCATCTTTGATATTGTTTTAATATCACCTTTGTACCATTTATAACATTTCTTGTATATTTTTAAATGTCTATACAGTAGTGTACTGTATACTGTAATAAACAGAATAGAGTAAACCAGCATGTATGCATACTGGTCAGAGAGACCGTCATAAGTCCGAGTCATCAGTAAACGAGTACGTCACTAAGTGAGGAGAGGCCGTATTGCTAAAGCTTAACACTAAAAACACATTTTAGTCATGTTTTTAAAGAATAATGAACAAAATTAAAAAAAAAATATGATGTAGGTGACATTGCTGAGTGACGTAAAGTTGGACATAATGACGTTCACTGAACTAAAATTTACTGTAGAAAAGTAGCATCAAGGTGAATTTGACATAAGCTGAAATGATGTAAAGTGGGGTATGACTGTAGTCATTATCATGGTCAGGGAAAAGGGAATAGCCTGTGTCCAGGGTACTTGTCAACTAAGGTAAGTGTGGAATAGGGCCTTTGAAATATTATGACTTATTTAAGTGTTGTGATCAAATATAAATTAAAAAATATGTTGCATTTTTACTTGTTTTAAATAAAAAAATAAATTGTAAGGGTAATGTTGGCATCATTTTATTAATCTATCCACAATCTGTACCTTATAACCAGGATGGCTTTGTTTTGAGTGAGTCAAGGTAGAGGGGAAGAGGAGGCCAGACAGTGCCAAGTCCTGGTACCTGGGCTAACTGGCTACCCACTTGCAGCTACTTTACATTTAAGACAGTGTTTTAAACAAAAGTAGTACAAAAACTGTCTTTAAAATAACATTAAGAATCATAAAAGGCACTCAATCTAAGGGACTAAGACATATCTCATAAGTTGTATAACAAAAAAAAATTATCACAGAAATTCACTGTTCTGGTGGGCTTGAACTAGGTACAGTATAATGTTGCATTATTGATTATGTATGAACCTACCTACCTTTTTATTGCCATAGTTTATTAGGTTATCTTATTATTTTTTGTATATATTTTGTAACTTGTAATGTGCATGTGCTTCTATTTTTATAAGGCACAGTTATTGCCCTGTATGTATTTTACCACAATAATTCACCTATTTAAAACTTCATTCCTTGTCCTACTACTACATTTTCTCATATTATCACATTATTATAGTTTTCCATCTTTTTTGGACTTCAGATCACGACGTGCATGTTTGACTGTGCCAAGAAGTCTGACTGTGAAATCAATGCCTTTGATGCCATAGAGTTTATTTTGTATCCTCTCCTCATCATAGTAACTCAATGGCTGCTGAAGAGGAACATCAATGCGTTCAGCAGGTAGGTTGGCATCAATGATCTGAATAATACCAGAAGGGCTCAGCTTCTTCTCATCAATGTCCCAGAAACGCAGATGCTCTCGCTGTACCCTCTTGGTTGCACCTCTTATCGCCCTCCAGGTAGCCATGGCATTACCGATGCTTTCATCAGTGACACCCTCAATGTACACCGTCAGATGAGTGATGGATGAAGGTAGTTCCTTCAGTTTTTTTGCATTGATCGTAGAAGCATCTGAGATGCGAATGGCTACACGACTGAGTTTGCCACTGTTTTTACTTATCTTATATAGACTTTCATATTGTTCTTGTTCTGTAATTCGGAGGCTAATGCTGTATATACGTCTTGTAGTTGGGTGACTATCCAGTAACTTTACATTCTTGAGATAGCCAGTGAATTTACCGAGTGAGGTATGGCCTTTACATTGCACTGCCTTGATTACATCATCGAATGGGTGCTCATCTATACCAAGAAAACTCCTATCCATTTGCAAGGAAAACCTGATGTCGCATTTCCTCACAGCCTCCAGCATGTCACAGAGTCCGGGTAATTCTGAGAAGAAGCCACTAAAACAAAAGTTTAATTTCTGAGGCTTTTGGTTCTTAAAAGACTCATGACCACATTCACACAAAGCTTGTAAAGCCTCTGGAAACAGGTTTCCGTCTAAAAGAACCCAGGCATCCTTTGGTATTGCAGCTAGCAGATCCTTGACAAATTTGTTATACTTGTCATCAGTTTTATTGTAGAGGCCACTCTCGGCTAATATCAGCATAGCAGAATTTATAATCTGATCAAAGCAATGTTTCATTAGTTCATTTTCAAAGATAAGCTTTCCAAGTTTAATTGTATGTTTTGTAACATCATGAAATTGAGAATTTGCTCGCATCAAGCCTACAATCATAGGAAGAAGTGACTGAAGTTTATAGAAATTTTCAATTTGTATTAAATTTTCAATACTGTTTAGATTGTAGTTGATTTGATTTTCTATATTCTTAGCAACAAAAAAATTTTGGTGAGCAGCTATCCTGAATGTGAATATCTGTATGTTACCTGATGCACTGTAATGAGGGACAAGTATATGGGCCAAAAAGGGCATAATTTCCTCAAGTCCTTTCCATACGGATAAATTATCTTCATCAGCCAAATACTCACAGTCATTTTCAAATGCTTTGTGGGCACGCTTATTAACTTCATTAGCTCCACTGATTATTAGGTCTCTGGGATCTGAGATGGGTAAATGTACTTCTTGTCTATAAATAAGAGCCCACAGCTCGAACCACTGAGCATACAATTCTGATAATGTTTTTGCAGTAATAGGTTTCATTTTTTGCTTTGCTAAGAGAGCCATATAAATGTTGAATGGCTTTTTCATCTCCACTGACAGAGTCTTTAACAATTTTACTATGTAATTATAAAATTTATCATAGTCCTCATTTTTGACCTGGCATAGCCTCTTGCAGTAATCTTGAAATAGTTTTCCTGAGAGTCCACCAAACAAATCTGAAAGGGGTTCAGGAAATCCCTGAAGATTCATATAAGGGTTGACTACTATTCCTCCCCAAAGTCGCAGCACCATGTTGTCCTGGGTCTGCTGATATCGCAGAGGGTGATCTGTAAATTTTGTCATAAACTGTAATCGACAAAAAATTATGATCCTCTGGTTATGGAACAGAGCTAAGGATGTCTCATCCACTCTAGAAGCCACTGGGTCATAGTCAAGAGAATCAATCAATACGAGGACCTTCATCTCCTTCATAGCCTTTAAAATCTTATCTTGACCATATTTATTAGTAGATTCAGGCAGTAGAGCCAACAGGTCTTTCGTGAAATCAATCTTTGTAGATGTCGTTTTAAGGCTCAGGCATTGAATGGCTACCAAGATATCAATGTTCTGAAGACCTCTCACCTGAAATTAAGAAAGAATATGGATGAAATATGTCATAAATTATAGAAAAGTGTTTAATCCAGACCCATACAAATTATGCAAAAGTGGGCAACAGACATTCTTAGATTTGACATTACTATTTTCCCAACAAACTAGCCATATCCCACTGAGGAAAAGGTGACACAAAAAGAAAAATTAAAGTTTTTCTTTAAAAATTTAGTAATTTAGTAATTGCTCCCGGCATTTTAGTTGCCTCTTATGACACACATGGCTTACGAAGGAAGAATTCTTTTCCACTTCCCCATTAATACCTGGGCCAATATTACAGTTCATAACAAAGGCTATTGAACCTGATTGCCTCCCATTATCCAGGCACTATAATGCCCTCTGTGGCTCAAAAGTGCCAGGATAATAAATTAAAATATCGTCCAGGACAGACTGAAATGTCATCGATTTTTTATTTTCAACTTTTTATTTAGTTGTGAATCAGGGGCCCAAGATTGTTCAACTGCCTCCCAGCATACATAAGGGGGGATTACCATTAGACCCCTGGCTGTCTTCAAGAGGGAGCTGGACAGGTACCTAAAGTTAGTACCTGACCAGCCAGGCTGTGGTTCATACATCGTTTTGTGTGCAGCCAGCAGTATCAGCCTGACTGATCAAGTCCTGATCCACAGCAAGGCCTGGTCATGGACCAGGCTGTGGGGGTATTGACCCTGAAACACCTTCCAGGTATACTCCAATCACAGGAACCTTGAAAAAAAGCTCTTTGCCAGTGAGGAGGCTGTTGATCTGATGAATTGATCTCTTCTTTCTTTCCAGGAAATGAATCTAAATACTACTCCTAAACCATCTCTCTCCTTTTGGCCTCATTAATGGGGATATTTTTCCTTTTCTGAAAATCAGCTCCTAAATAGAAGAAAAAGAAAACATGTGGTTCATTCTAATGTAGCTTGTTAGTAGTGGTGGGTGGTTTTGTAGCTCCACCTGGTGGAAACTGTATCATGTTCGGGCGTGTCAGCTAAGAATATCAGATGGCCATCTGGCAGGACCTCAAAGGGCTGAAGTACCTGTGCAAGCTGCTTATGGATCCAGGAGTGGCAAATACGGAAGGAATTGGGGTGAACTTAAAACAGTGATTTCTCAGTTTTTACCATGTGCACAGCTCTGTATTTGTTTACAGGAATCTGAACTATGTAACACAGTCAGCCTGCCTTTCTCTGGCTATGTATCTTTACAGTTACTGCAACAAAAATGCACTCTAGTTTGCAATGATATGCCACTTTTTCAAATTTATCATCGTACCCTGATCCATTCATGCCTCCCATTCCCCAGGGTCTGTTTAACCCTTAGGGGTTATATAAACAACATAATGCAAATATTAACCACAACCTCAATGAAAATATGAATGCCAAAATAATCAAGCCTCCATGCTTTGTGTACTTGGTCAAGAGTTGCGACGTTCAGGCTTGAGGCCTGGGCTAAAGTAATTTAATGCTACAGTCTTTTACTGAACCCGAAAGGACTCAGGTTTGATTCCCAGGTTGATAAAGACATATGGGCAAATATTCTTATACCTGCTGACCGTGTTCATCTAGCAGAAAAAGAGTGCCTGGGTGCTAGTTAAGTGTGTCGATAGCATTTTAGGTTATACTATATACAGTGGACCCCCGGTTTACGATCAGCTCCCAATGCGATCAATTATGTAAGTGTATTTATGTAAGTGCGTTTGTACGTGTATGTTTGGGGGTCTGAAATGGACTAATCTAACTCAAAATATTCTTTATAGGAACAAATTCGTTCAGTAATGGCACCTGAACATACTTCTGGAATGAAATAATATCGTAAGCTGGGGGTCCACTGTATACCTATAATGTTTTACCAGAAGATTAGCCCCCTTGAAAAAATGCTTGATGGTAGTGAGAGGCTCTTGATTCAAGAAACTGGATTTATCCTCCCCTTCCATGGATCAAACTTGATTGTCTCCCATTCCTCAGGCACTCTATGAGCACTAAGAGCTTCCCCTAGACTAAAAAAAAATAACTCCCCCCCCCAAGACAAAACACAGTTCTGCACATTCTTAAATAAGTCAAGGTAAATTATACAGGTGTTACATTTTAGAAAGATTAGTTATGGTGCAATATTGAATACAGAGGTGACATCAAAAATATGTAGGTTTTATTATCTATTCTTATTGTTGTACTCACAGTATTGTGAGATTTTTCATGTAAATATTTAGCAATCAATTATGATTATAATAATTATAATTCATGTAAATATTAAGCAAAAATTAGGATTGTGTGCACACCTTAGTCTTGTCGTGAAGCCAGTAATGAATGAGAAGAGCAAAGAGTGCAGTTTTACCACTCTCAGGACGACCCAGGAGCAAGAGTCTCTTTGGTAGAACTTTTTCTTTTGTGTCCTGAAGCTGTGTTATCAGTAAGTCTGACACACACACTTTTCTGTGTCCAAGGAATAAGTAATTAGTAAGTTTATTTAGGTACAGATATGTACACATAAATAAAGTTAAACAAATTATCATACACAGTAACATGTGTAAATTATCTAGGATAACTCAAAAAAGACAAAGTGCCTTATTTCCATTTAAATTAAATATAGTAGCATCCCGGTTTTTGTCCTTAACCCTTAACCCTTTGACTGTCGCGGCCGTATATATACGTCTTACGAGGTACCGTGTTTGACGTATATATACTCATAATAATACTCATAATTGAATCATCATTCAATACTCTCACCATCACTCATACATAATCACCGTCTTTGCAGAGGCGCTCAGATACGACAGCTTAGACGTCCTTCCGAATTGCCAATATACCAAACCCCTCCAATAAAGTGCAGGCATTGTACTTCCCATTTCCAGGACTCAAGTCTGGCTAACCGGTTTCCCTGAACCCTTTCACAAAATATTACCCTGCTCACACTCCAACAGCTCGTCAGGTCCCAAAAGCCATTTGTCTCTATTCACGCCTATCTAACACGCACATGCACGCTTGATGGAAGTCCAAGCCCCTTGCTCACAAAACTGCCTTTACCCCCTCCTTCCAGCCTTTCCTAGGATGACCCCTACCCCTCCTTCCTTCTGCTACAGATTTATAAGGTCTCCAAGTCATTCTACAGGTCTCCTTCAACATTTGCAAGGGTTAGGGGATCAAGTGCCTCGTGAATGTTGAAAAATCGCGAATGTTTGGCGCCCCAATACAGTATATTGTAGGGAAATATAATACAATACTGCTTCCTTAATTTTTTGAACCATGAACAATCATAAAATACACGAAAACGTTGTAAAATATTGTACTAAATACAGTGGAACCTCAGGTTATGAATTTAATCAGTTCCGTGGACTTGTTCGTATGCTGGGTCAACTTTCTTCATTTAAATTAACTGAAATGCAATTAATTCGTTCCAGCTGAATTCCTGCTCTCAGGAGGCATGACATCAACTCTACAGCTCATTTATCTGTCACAATTCATCTAATATGACATAATAAACAATATAAATAACATGGAAACCTGATATAGTCTAGAATTAATAAAATATGTCATTACATGGACGGCGGAGGGAGGAGGATTGTGGTCGGGAGTGGTCGCGCACTCTCGCTATGAAAACGTCAGAGGTGTTATAAGAGAAAATGGAGTTTGTGAGGCTAACTAAATTAGATCTGGTGTACATAAGGCATTTACATACCTTGGAGAAGAAATGCAGAGTAGCATATCCTGTCAGGAGTTCACACTTTTCTTAACCCTTTCAGGGTTTCAGCCGTACTAGTACGGCTTACGCACCAGGGTTTTTGACATACTAGTACGCCTAAATTCTAGCGCCCTCAAATCTAGTGAGAGAAAGCTAGTAGGCCTACATATGAAAGAATGGGTCTATGTGGTCAGTGTGCGCAGTATAAAAAAAATCCTGCAGCACACAGTGCGTAATGAGAAAAAAAAACTTTGACCGTGTTTTTGGATTAAAACAGAGACTTTACACTGTATTTTCGTATGGTATTTATTGTTGTATTCTAGTTTTCTTGGTCTCATTCCAGAGAAAGGAAGACATATTACAGAAATTGAGATGATTTTGACTGATTTTACAATGAAAAGTACCTTGAAATTGAGCTCAAAGTAGCAGAAATGTTCGATTTTTACCAAAGTTCAAAAGTAAATAACTCATACCAAGCGTCTAATACATGTCAACTGGTGAGTCTAATATTCTTTCACAAGTGTGCCAATATTATTTATATAATGTTTTACACTAATGCAGTAGTCTGCATAACAGTATATCTTCTATTTTTTGTGAGAATAAAAATTCAAAGTGGAAAGCAAAAGAATGTAAGAGGGGCATTGGGACGTGACTAATGAACAGAGGAAATGTCATTTTAGTGCCAGGAATGTCTTTCTTGTTTATTCTGGACCCTATTTGGAAATTGGCATCTTTTGAAATTTGTGTGAAATTGGCAAAATTGCTAAATTCTGAGCACTGTATTGGATAGTTGAAATCGGTAAATGGGTGGTTTCTTGCACTCATTCGATAGAAAAAATGGAGTTCTAGCAAAATAGTTATGATTTTTGTAGAATAGTACAGTGGAATTGGCCGAAAATAGGGCTCAAAGTGGGCAAAATCGCAGATGCGTAAACATCGTCGAGACCGCTAGCTTCGCGAGAGCATAATTCCGTAAGTTTTCTATCAAATTTCATACTTTTGGTGTCATTATGATCGGGAAAAGATTCTCTATCTTTTCATGGGAAATTTTTTTTTTTTTTTTTTTTGAAATTTGGGCGACCCCGAGAACAAGTCTCTGAGAGGGCCTGTCGACCCTGAAAGGGTTAAGAACTGGCCCTCAAGGAAGGCTCCTTGATGATGGTGAGGGGCTCTTGATTTAGGGAATTGGATCTGTGCTCCAGTTCCCCAAATTAAGCCTGAATACCTTCCCTCCCAGGTGCTGTATAATCCTATGGGTTTAGCACTTCCCCCTTGATTATAATAATAATCTTAAGAACTGTTATGTGCAATTTTTATGTTTATCTCACTGCACTACGTATCTCCTGTGAGCTGTTTCTCCGTCAACCATGTCAACAGCAGCTTTTCCATCTTTTCACTGACAGAGGTCCACTGCTTAGAAATTACTGTAACACCCTTTACTGGCACTACAGCCTTTATAGACTCCTGCTTTAGTATTGTACATATAGTAGAGGGGCTACGCTTGTACTCAACTCGCCAATTCCTCAACCCTCGTACCTAGTCTGTGCTTATTAATCATTTCTTGCTTTAATTCCATGCAAATCATCCTCTTTTTTTCTCAGCACTGTCCATTACACTTACTTTCTTAGGACCCATGGTCAGAAGAAAGTAATCTGGTGAATTAACTGCACAAAATGTAAGGAAATCACGGGAATTCGTTGCACCACAAGGGTAACTCCGTAAACACATGTGCACTGGTGACCATCGTTTTGACTGACACTGCTATCTGGTGGTGTTGTCAAACTAAATTATATGCAGTACGTACATACATGTACTATTGTTATTATAATTATTATTGTACGTATTATTATATTATATATTATTATATTAGTACGTAGTACGTATATAATAACAATAAAATAATATAATAATGTATTATTATATTATACGTAATTATTATGAAGTTTTTTTTTTTAACAAGTCGGCTGTCTCCCACCGAGGCAGGGTGACCCAAAAAGAAAGAAAATCCCCAAAAAAGAAAATACTTTCATCATCATTCAACACTTTCACTTCACTCACACATAATCACTGTTTTTGCAGAGGTGCTCAGAACACAACAGTTTAGAAGCATATATACGTATAAAGAGACACAACATATCCCTCCAAACTGCTAATATCCTGAAACCCCTCCTTTAAAGTGCAGGCATTGTACTTCCCATTTCCAAGACTCAAGTCTAGCTATATAAAAATAACAGGTTTCCCTGAATCCCTTCACTAAATATTACCCTGCTCACACTCCAACAGATCGTCAGGTACCAAACACCATTCATCTCCATTCACTCCTATCGAACACACTCATGCACGCCTGCTGGAAGTCCAAGCCCCTAGCCCACAAAACCTCCCTTACCCCTTCCTTCGAACCTTCTCAAGGACGACCCCTACCCCGCCTTCCTTCCCCTACAGATTTAAATGCTCTCCATCCCATCTCATTCTACTTTGATCCATTCTCTCTAAATGACCAAACCACCTCAACAACCCCTCTTCAGCCCTCTGACTAATACTTTTATTAACTCCACACCTCCTAATTTCCACACTCCGAATTTTCTGCGTAATATTTACACCACACATTGCCCTTAGACAGGACATCTCCACTGCCTCCAACTGCCTCCTCACTGCTGCATTCACAACCCAAGCTTCACATCCATATAAGAGTGTTGGTACTATTATACTTTCATACATTCCCTTCTTTGCCTCCATAGATAATGTTTTTTGTCTCCACATATACCTCAATGTACCAATCACCTTTTTTCCCTCATCAATTCTATGATTAACCTCATCCTTTATAAATCCAACCGCCGACATGCCAACTCCCAAGTATCTGAAAACATTCCCTTCTTCCATACTCCTCCTCCCCAATTTGATATCCAATTTTTCTTTATCTAAATCATTTGATACCCTTATCACCTTACTCTTTTCTATGTTCACTTTCAACTTTCTACCTTTACACACACTCCCAAACTCATCCACTAACCTTTTGCAATTTTTCTTTACAATCTCCCATAAGCACAGTATCATCAGCAAAAAGCAACTGTGTCAATTCCCATTTTGTATTTGATTCCCCATAATTTAATCGCACCCCTCTCCCGAACACCCTAGCATTTACTTCTTTTACAACCCCATCTATAAATATATTAAACAACCATGATGACATTACACATCCCTGTCTAAGACCTACTTTTACCAGGAAGTAGTCTCCCTCTCTTCTACACACCCTAACCTGAGCCTTACTATCCTCATAAAAACTCTTTACAGCATTTAGTAACTTACCACTTACAGTGGACCCCTGACATTCAATATTAATCCGTTCCTGAGAATTATCGAATGTCGAAAATATCGAAAGTCAAATTAATTTTCCCCATAAGAATTAATGGAAATCAAATTAATCTGTGCAAGACACCCAAAAGTATGAAAAAAAAATTTTTACCACATGAAATATTAAGTTTAATGCAATAGAATAATTACAATAACAACAATAACAATAGATTAATAACAATAGAATAATTGACACTTACCTTTAATGAAGATCTGGTGATGATTGATGGGATGGGAGGAGGGATGTTAGTGTTTAGAAGGGGAATCCCCTTCCATTAGGACTTGAACTGGCAGCCTCACCATGCCTTACCACACTGTGTATGCCACTACGATTCTTAAATCTTTCAAACCAACCTTTGCTGGCCTTAATCTGATGTTATCCTGACGCCAAATGACTTCGAAC